AAAAAAAAAAAAAAAAGAGGGGAAAAAATATTAATTAATCCCTTCGTTGAACAACGAGATTCGAACTCAACGACGCTCGTCCGACAATGTGTCGAAAGAGCTAGAATCCGCGGTACATCCTTCTCGATTTGACATTCCTCGAAAATCTCTGGACACGAGAGGTGTGGAATAAATAAAAATGAAAACAGAAAAGACAGTTAGTAAGACCAAAGTAGCAACCAGAACTGTCCGGACCACTGTCTCACTACAACCTTCGAAGAGCTGGACTTTGTCTCTAGACTATTTCTCTCTAGACATATTGATCTCGGTTGTAAAAAATCCTTGCATGACAAAAGAAAAGACAAAAAAAAAAAGAGAAGAAACATCAACCGTTCACGATACCACGACTGATACATTAATATCTTTTCCATGACGCTATGAGTGAGTCGACTCTGTATATATTTTTCGTTCCATCCAAAAGTGATAGTAAAATATACAAATATATATATATATATTTTTTTTTTCAATTGTTTTCTGCTTCATCATTTTTATCGAGATTCGCACGAGGATCTTCACGGGAGGTCGGGAAAAGTAGGGAGATAATTGGCATGGGAATGAGATGAGACCTCAATATATCTTGCACCTCGTTGCAATGTTCTCTCGGAACGTATGTTATACATATCTATGAATATACATAAATATGTGGTAAATATATATGGTATCTAAGAATGTTCACACTTTCAAGGTTGCCTATCATGCGCGTAAGCCAAGGTATGTAGTGAGATAGTGAAAAATCCCCAAGGCATGCGGGACGTCTGTGTCGTATGTGAACTTTACCAATAATGTTCAATGTAAAGGAATAATCATATCAATAGTGTTTCGTGAATCTGAAACCATGAAGGATTACATCTCGTCTCGAGCCAGGACGGGAGAGCCCTCGGCTCGAGGCCCGTTGACTGTCAAGACGATTACTTACTCGTGACAATGTCAACGGACGACTCTAAAATCAGGCTTAGATAGCCAGTCACCGAATCATTGCGAGCGATTAAAAAAGCAACAATGTAGGTAAACGAATGATACACATGTACACCCGACACTTCGTGACTCGACTTATATATCTCTCTCTCTCTCTCTCTATTTTACCGCGATGGCTTGAGTATTAGTGAAACGTCAAAGCAGTTAATTCGGTTATTTCCTGGCAATACGGTTAATGAATGCCTTGACACGAGGCCAACGGTGTCTCGCAAATGGACACGTTCCCCTGAGAGCGCTCGAACGAATTCCACCTGGACGGACAGCTCCAATTTCGGACATTTCATTTGTATTTAAACAGAAAATCTCCGAAGTATGGAGCCCGTCGACAGGGTGGCCGACACGTCGCGAGTCTATTTCCCGACCGGCGGTAAAATTGGCAATTAATATAATATAATATATGCATAATATATGTATAATATATGTATAATATATGTATAATATATGTAGTTAGCAATAGCTCTCGGTGCGATCAAACTCCTCGTCTCTGACGAGTCTCTGAAAGTACGCCGGTGAATTCGTTCGAGCAGCCACTCAGAGGGCCACACAGGGACGTTTACAGTAACAAGTACTTAAAAAATAGATGCAACCGAGTTTGCAGTCGCGACAAAGGACACTTACCATAATCACCGCGTCCCATATGTCCTCGCATGCCCGCGCCAGTGCCACGGGGTCCTTGTCCAGGCCCGCGGACTGGCATGGGGCCTCCCATCATGCTAGGATGTGACGGGGACCCTCTGAAATCATAATTTCGACATACATATATACAAAGAAAAAAGTACATACGAAAAACCCACCCAAGACGAGCAATTGGACCTAGTCCACCGTTAAGGTGTTACGAAAGTACCTGTATATGTAAAACATCCAAATATTGATAAAACTTTTCTCCAAACCGGGTGGAACCGAATTACCAGAAACTTCAATACATGATTATGAAGGCCCTGAGGAAGAACGCGATGGTTGTGAAATTTTTCATTTTTCTAAAAAAAAAAAATTGTTTCACTTATTCAAGGCTAGAACCAAGGACGTATATTATGTCTTTTGAAAAATGAGAATTCATGAACATCACGTCCTCCCTTAGAGCCACCGTAATCATGCGCTGAAGATTCAAATAATTCGGTGCGCTCAGTTTTATAAATATTCCCATGTTTTTATATGTATATATACGTATATTGAGTGACGCTTTCGTGACACCTCAGATCGGCGCACGTCAAGGGGAGGGAAAAAAAAAAATGAATCCCGTACCCGCCACGGCCTTGCATAATCTGCATCATTCTACGTTCTCTGGCTCGCAGCATCTCTTCCTTCTTCTTCTTGTCGGACGGAGGTTTCGCGAGGGACACTTCGATATGGGACCCGCCCATCTCTTTTCCATTCAACTCGTTCATCGCCTGAAAACCACACAGTCGTTGATTTTCAGTCGGATCCTGACCTACCGAAAATGAGGGAGAGCTTAGTTTATCCTCACCTTGACGGCGTTAGCCCTATCCTCGAAATGTATAAAAGCGTAATCCTTGATCTTCTTCACTCTCTCGACCTTCCCGTACTGCTCGAACTGTTCCTTCAGCTTCTCCTCGGTGCAGTCTTGCGTGAGGTTTCTTACATACAGCACTCTCACCTGGGGAGAAAATTCGTTAAGGGGATCCGTAAGTGGTATCTGCGGAGTCAACCGTTCGCGAATCACTTTTCTCCAAACTGGATATACCGAATCGTTTCAAACGAAACAACGTCAACATAGAGACAACAAAGAAGGTCCCGACACCCGCGAAATTTCATTTTCTATTTTTTTTTAAAAACAAAATTGTATAAAAAGGTCCACGAACAAATTAAGACTGTGCTTATAAATTCCTAGATAAACGAGCCAATGATAAAAAATTACCTAGATGAAGGTACCATCGCAGGGTACATAATAAATAAGGAAAAAAAAAGAAAAGAAAAAGAGAAAAAAAAAGAAATAACAATTACTTTGGACATGGTCTGCTCGTCAGGCTCTTCCTGGGGATCAGCCCAGTCGACAATGATGTCGCATCCCCAGACTTTGGTCCTGCCTGTGCCCAGCCTCCGTTTGGCCAGGGAGGCCGCCTTGTGGGAATCATACTCCAGGAAGCAGAATCCTCGGTTCTTCTTCTTGTCATCAGGCGAGCTGTAGATGATCACCTCGGTCAGGCCCGCTAGATCGTGGAAAACGACAGAAAATCAGCCATAAGTCTCGGCCCGGCTCTGCCCATCGGGGTTAACTAAAAGTGACTACGGGTAGTATGAACAATCTCAAGAAGGAAGAAAAAAAAAAAACCAGAAGAAAAACAAAAATAAATAAAACAACAACATAAGGAGAAGAAGAAGAAGTGAAGGAAACAAAAATAATAAAGAAAAAAAAAAAGAGAACAGAAAAACTTAAGACAAATCAACAAAAGGAAACGAAGAGAATGCTCCAACCGAAGGAAACAAGACTCAAGCAGACTGTGTTCTTTCTCTTTTCTTCTCTTCTCTACCTCTCTCTCTATCTCTCTCTCTATCTCTATCTCTGTCTCTGTCTCGCCGTTAAGGACGCGAAAGGATCGAATAAGAAAAGAAAAAATCTAAAATAAAAAGAAACAATTTCCTGCTTAACTTCATTTACGAGGTAGCTTTGTCGCTCGTGTGTCGACCTCCCTCTCTCTCTCTCTCCCGCACTCACTCGCTCTCTCTTTCTCTCTCATTCGCAGATCCGCGTTAAATTGTTAAGACTAAATGTTATAACGCTCATTTTCGATGGCGAAGCGAGAAGCTGCGACTTTCGGATGCAATCCCAACTGGGTCTCCCTTAATTGTTAATAGAAGTCTCCCATTATCATCGGCTCTCCTTTGTCCTTCCTTCTGTTATTTATTTTTTCTTTTCTTTTTTCACCGCATCGTTCGTTAAGTCGGTCAGTGCAAGAGGAACTCTACGAAGCGTTTTGCCCGAGGTGTTTCCGGGCGATATGTGACCGCAGGAAAATTCGCCGCCTCTATTTGATAATGAAGAAAAAAAAAAGGAGGGGGAGGGGGAACGAATTGATAATGGCTCGTCACGTGACAAATGAACTCCGAGAAGCGACACGGGCGTGACATGGATACTCGACAACTCGGACTGGCCCTGATTTCGAAGACAATTGAAGAAAGCCTACTGTATGCCAAAACCTTCCGTGATTGGCGACTCTTTTTTGGCACGACAGTGGTACGCCTCTCCTTCCTCTCAGTTTAAAAGCCCCGACATTGATTGCACAGCGAGACGCCTACACGTTCCCCTTTCCATTAAGTGATAATGAACAATTGAAAGAAAAAAAAATATATATATAACGTCCTCTTTTTGATATCATACACATGTATATATACTTTAAAAACTACGACGATCTGAAATCTCCCTCGAAATGATGAATTTTTCAATCTTTCTAAGGTATATATATATTTTTTTTTTAAAGATATATATATCTTATAAAGTATCTTTATCAATATTGATAAAGATCGGCCGGCGAGATGTTTGAACAAAAGATCCCTCGAGAGAGAGACGTCTCAAAGAGAAGAGAGATTTGCGAGCTAGTGCCTCGACGCCTCTAATGACTTGAGAATTGAAAACACAAGTTTAAAAAAAAAAAAAGAAAAGAAAACTTGAAGCAACAATAGTCGCTGACGATGTCTTTAGGTGAAAGAGTGAAAGAAGAGGATACACGAAAGTAAATGAACAAGCGAAATGTTCTTTCCCTTCCGGACCGTTGAACATCCCAGATCCGAATCAATCGTCTCAACTCCTATTTTGACTGTTAACACGGTTTTCCTTTGTGCTTGTTTCTTTTTTTCTATCCTCCTTTGTTTACACACTCTTTACTCAGTTTCTCGACGTTTACCCCATTGCCTCCTCTCTGTGTCCAGACTCTGAGAGTTCATGCAAGATTTATCTACGTATCGACAGCGCACACACTCACTTCCCGGTAATGCAGAAAGGAAGAAATTAATCGAGAGAGAATGTGACGAGAGAGGGAAACGAAAAAAAAAAAAAATAAGAAAAAAAAGAAACGGACAAAAAAGAAGAGAAAACTCAACCAAAGGTAATAAAAATAAAACAAATAGAACTAGAAAGAAAAGAAATCGGGCAGTACGTCCAGGCACTCGTCGCCGCACACAGGAAACTCTTTTCAAATCACCCGACAGAGACCGCTAGCTGATATGTATCCAAAAACGACACCAAACTAATCAAAGCGGGACAGTCTTATAAGGGTCCCGTCTACTCGAAAAGTGGGAGATTCAAGAGACGAAAGAATAAAATACCCCCGGGTAAATCGTGAAGAAGAGAAATGAAAATACATGGAACACCAAATGGGAGATAAAGAATCGATGATACAGGCAGCATCCCGCGACTACGAACTGCAACGTCTCTTAAAGTTCGTGGCGCATCATTTCGAGATTAAAATTCGAAACGATAGGAACTTTTACCATTCCAGAAGGAAGAATGGTCCAATCGGGGAGAGAATAAAAAAGAAAAAGGTTAGGAGAGAGAGAGAGAATTTATTAAGCGAGAACTGCCTGTATCGAGAAATAAATTCGAAAGTAAGATAATAAAATGATATAAAATGAAAATGTGTCGCAGTTTTCGTTTTATAGAGACGCGGGAGGTAGACCGGACCCTTGGCTTCTTATCACCGGCTAGTCCCTTGAAGAAAGAGGAAGAGCAAATACAGGAAGAGTGTGAAAGAGACAACCGCTCGCGGGAGCGCAAACGCATTCCGAGGTGTCGCTAGTAGAACACGAGGCCCTCGACAAGTCGCTTTTGTCATCCTTATCATCCCCCGTATCACCAGAAAGGTGGCGGACGTCGCGCGGGAAAAGGTCGCTTCAGGTTTATAATTTTTTTTTTTTTTAATTTAAAAGCCTAAGCGGCGCAATACAGACATGCTGTTAAGACGCAACGTCGGACTCGAAAGCTCCCGTTAACCACTAAAAAGAGTCCTCGCGATAAACGCGCACGTATGCGTACTTTTAACCCCAGATAACGAGGAAAAATACAGGATCCATATCTGGGATTAAATCGATATACACGGCGTTCCCCTAACAAAACAATCCATGCCAATAAGTGTTATATGTAGGGCCAGAGAGAAAAGAAAAAAAAATAAAAGTACATACAAAAAAGCTTGATGATAAGGTAAAAAGAGACGATGAAGTTGACATAGAAACATGGCGTTTTTGGACCTGTGAGGGAATATTCCTTTCTTTTCCTCTGATCCTACTCATTGAATGCATCGGCGATTCGGTCGCTTCGTTTGGAAACGCTTTGTATACGTGTACTTGGCGCACGTACGTCCTGGGTCGTGTTAAGTCACGAAAGATGAGAGGGTAATGCATCTCCTGTTCGTTATCGAAAGGTACCGAGAAAATGTTCGTGAGAAAAAAAAAAAAAAATAGAAACTAGAGGAAGCGTCCCTCGCCCGTAGAGTCTCGACTGAGTCTCGCGCCAAGTACATCTCGCGCGAGACGACCGTGGACATTTACGCGCACTCTACCTCGATACTAGATGTGAGGATGCGAGATATATCACGCGTTACGTGAAATCGCGGTAAATTTAACAGCCGTTGTCCCTACATTTCCGTCACATCATATCGTTTCCTTGGCTCTTTTTTACGCAGAAAAGCGTTAAAAAAAAAAGGAAAGAAAGAGAGAAAACCTAAGAGAATAAAATGATCGCTGTTAAAATTACGCGACAATTTCCTGCGCGACGTGTAATGGTTAACAGCAACATGTTTCGTGTTAAAAGCGTCACTGCTCCCTAGACAGCGGGGTATGTAATCGAAAGTGTACGTAAATATTATTAATATATATATATGATTCATAAGCGCGAATTGGTTTTAATTTCCGCACCTCGCTCATACATACCCTGCTGGACTAACGAATCGTCGTTGAATCTGCAGCGGCCACATAGGAATCATTATCACGTATTGCGACCTTAATTAGGAACTCTGATTAGCAGTAACGGCGACAAAATTGAAAAGAAAGGAAAGATAAACCAAGAAGAACAAAAAGAAGAGAGAGAGAGATTGCGTGCAGGCGTCGCTGTAGATCCAAAGACTAAGTCCTTTCGCGGGGGAGGGAGAGAAGAAAGAACGGAAAATAATGGATAAACGCGGATGAGAATAAAAAAATTGGGGGGGCCGGGGGAGGGTGTTAATTGGTGAGACCGCGCACAGGTGAACTCCTCTCTACCATTTCCCGCTCCTTTTCGGAATCGGGACGAAAAACGAAGTCAAGGAACGCACACTGAGATATGATTTATCACTGAACGTTTTTCAAACCTCAATGATTTATCAGGATAAATGACATTTTCCAAAACGCAACCGGACTGCTTTCCAGTCTGAGTTTAGGTGGAAAAGATTGCAGAATTTCTATGTACAATCGGTCTGTACAGAATTGCTGTGACTTAAATGACGTTCACCTCGGATAAGTAATAATGTTGACGTGATCGTACCAATAATATCGATCTCTCAGTGCACGCCAAAAAGTCGTACGACGAACCGATGGAGTTAAGAAAGGTCGCGCTAGGGCTAGATTAAACCCACCTGGCACCTCCGTTACCAAATCGCATTAATTTTTAACTTCCAATCGAGTCGATTGTCAAGGTATAAACCGACGATCGCAAATGCTTGACGACACACGTCAGGGTTGCCACAAGAACTTGCCCTTAACAACCGATGAGCCGTCATTTCTACCCTCATTTGCCGTGATCTCTACAAAAGAAAAGCTGATACCACGATTAACATTAAACAGAGTACAACCTCTTTAGGAGGATAAAATTGAAGAATCATTATCGGAGCTCATTAAGGTCCACGTTAAAAAAAAGAAAAGAAAAGAAAGAAATCAATTAAAACCACAAAGCACTTCGACAGCGCTGTCTGTCACTGATACGAATTGCCGAGATAACGAAGGAAATAATTAACAGCGTCCCAATTACACATCTCAAGTGTAAGCAATCGAATAGTTTGAAAACGCTGAAAGGAAAAAGAGAAGATAAGAAATTAATAAAAAAAAATATAAAAAAATATAAAAAATTGGAATCTGGCACATTTTTCTTTTTTTCCCGACGTTACCGACCGAGGGCTCGACATCACGAGAGAGGAACAAAAAAGAAAAGGAAAAGGAAAAACAAAGGAATCGAACGAAAATTGAAAAAAAAAAAAAAGAGTACCTGAGGAAATGTTTCCTGGGCAACCCCGCGCGGCCTTGGGCCTCTCACTCTCGCTCACGCACTCGGGCTCGCTCTCTCTCCCTCTCTCTCACTCAGCGCCACGCGGTAGGTACTCCCTTTCGGTCACAGTCCGTTGATTTTAAAGGGCAATTGTCAACTTACGTGCGTACTTTGTGAACTCTTCGAACAACTCATCTCGGTCCCGATTCTTTGGAATATTTCCCACAAACAAGCGGTGATTGTTATAAGACACGGTAACACCAATCTTTTTGCCTTTCCGAATCTCATAATCATTCAGCTGTAAGAATAATGTGGAAGGAGAGTGCCAATTAAGCTTGCCTCTTGTGATCTCGCCTGCTTACATTGGCTGGTATCGAGAGCGTGGGAAAGCGTTCCTGAGAGAGTATCAGAGAAACTCACAATATCGGGAGCGACCTCCCGCGCCCTCGTCGGGACGGCCCGGGGTGGTGGGGTTGGTCGGGGGTGGTCGAGGGGAATGTCGACGTTGGGGAAGATGTCGAAGAGGGCGCCGCGACATCCTGGAGAACGCCACGAAGGTTCCAGATCGGGATCCAGGAGAGAGGCTGGGCGCGGAAATTTGGGCTCTTCGAGGTCGGAAAGGAAGATGGGAGGGAGGGGGGCGGCGATTTTTTTCGAGGGTGATCGGGAGTGCCTGTCCGTTTTTTAGCGAGCCACACGCACCAGCGGTCCACGCAGCTCTCCCATACCCCCATGCTCGAGGCTCAGTCATGAATATCACGGGTTAAATCTCTCTCGTCAGCGACACTCGACTATTTTCGAATTTTCGAATTTTCGAATTTTCGAACTTTCGAATTTTCGAATTTTCGAATTTTCGAATTTTCGAACTTTCGAATTTTCGAATTTTCGGATTCTCGGACTTTCGTATCATCTCCCTCCCATATATACATCGTCTCGTTCTCTTGCTATCCTGTTCTCGTTTCTCGCCGTTCGGTCCGGCTGATCCGTCTACTCTACTTCGATTGATCCGTCTGATCGTCCTTCTAGAGTCCCATACATGTTCTCGGGACGATGGCGTCGTATCCGTCAAAGTCGAAGGGGCCGGGTCTCGGTCTCTCTCTACGTGTGACGAGGTCTGCGAGGAGGTGCACTACCTCGGAGTCTACCGGCCGGTGTACCCTCCGTCCTCGGAGTCGGCGTTTCTCCCCGGTAGAAGGAAATCACGAGGTCGTTTTCTAGGAGGCCCGGGCGATGCTCAGTTAGGAGGAGACCCAGGGAAACCCCTGGGGATCAACCGGGAAGGAGGTCCCGCGACCCCGTTGGAAGGCATTTCTAGAGGCCTCTCGGAGGTCCCTTTTAATCCACGATTCCACAGCTCTAGTCAACCGAAGGTTTAACTGGTTTACCCCCGGTTTAAACCTGCCGCTAATCACATAAACTCCGGTTAGCTAGAGTCCTGGAACCGGGCCTCAGAGATCCTGCGAAGGACTTAGTGTCCAAAACCTTGGACACCCTCCTCGGCCCGGTTCCCCAACTCGAGTTAACCCAAATTTAACCGTTAAACCAACTAAATTCCGTTAAACTCGAGTTATGGAACCAGACCTAAGGGCTCGTGCCCACGTGCAAGTGACTCGCGGCATTTCTTGCTAGAGCAGCCTGAATTTTTGCATACACTCCCAATTAATTCGTGCAAGATCACAAGATCCAAAACCGTGTAAACTACGGCAAGAACTGTCTGAGAGAAGCTTTCGCAAGTTTTACTTGCACACGGACACGAGCCATAAGAGGCCCTCCACGAGTCTCTCCATCCTGGAGATTCACCCGAGAAAAAGAAAAAAAAAATAAAAAAGAACCTCCATCCTTTTCGTAGGATCGCCTGGTACTTTCGATCCTACCTCGGGAAGAAATCAAACGTTAATCACCAGGCGCATTCCACGAAAGGGGGGATTACTTCCGAGGTGGTGCCTCCTTCCCGGAAAGATGCTTGAACTCTTCCATTCTCGCCTGGGCCCGACCCGACCGGTGAAAAACGCCTCCTCGTGGAGAAAAAAAAACGACAAAAAAAAAAGAGAAAAAAATCCCTCGTCGCGAGAGACGGCTCGAGAGGGCGCAAGGGAGCGCGCAAGAAGTCGAAGAAGAGATCGAAAGAGGTACGAAATAAAGTTTGGGGGGGGGGCTGGGTAAAGTGTCACTGCGGGATCGATCGAGGGGGAACGACTTGAGGGGGTAGGGGGGGTCGGTTCTTCGGCAGGGGGGGCGTTCGAACGCGTGAAAAAAAGTTGGGCGCACACCGGCGTTACCGAGAGTACAGAGAAGGAGCAAGACAGTTAACTCATAACTCAACCTAAATATGAGAGGAAGAGAGAAGACTTGGACCAGAGAGGTGTTACCGTTCACTAATAAACCGAGAGGCAAGGAGACTGACCAGTATCAAAGGTGTGTGAATCACAGGTGTGTCGCCAAATCGATATACACAGGTATACGTACGTGCGTCCCTTAGTGCAGTGGACGGGCACGCACGTATACGTATGCATATGCATATGTGTATATATATATATATACATATACATACACACAAGTACGTATAACATTGCTAAAAAATAGTCTCTCGTGTGCGATCGTGCGATCGCACGGATGCTCCGTGTATATAATTTTCCATACCATCTACAACCAACTACTTAAAAACTACCACTCTCTTAACGGTTACACGAATACAAGGTAGACAGGTAGGTATATAGGTATAGGTAGGTGTGCACACGCCTCGAATTTCACTTTACCTGCTAATTTACCAAATTCCTCCAAGATCTCCTCTTTGCCTTTTGACTTTGGTATGTTCCCCACGAAAAGTCGTAGATTAGGAACGCTAATGTTTACTTTCAGACTCTTGCCGGGTTTTATTTCGTGATTATCGAGCTGTGGGATGAAGAAAAACACACACATGCCTAATTTTGTTCCGACGAGGTGGTCGATCGATAATAAGTGGTTAAGTAATTAAACGACAAATGGTAAAATTTAGGAAACGGGAAAGAAAAAAAAAAAGAACAGACCAATATTTAAAAAAAATAGAGAAAAAAAGATATATAAGAAACTTATACAGACGACGGTCATTCTCGGGTACGAGAGACCTCGTTATTGAAAAAAAAAAGCGTGTAGTTAGCACGACGTGGGGGGGTCCACGAGAAAGCGAGAAAGTGGCATGCGCTTTGTCGCTCGAGTCTTCACAATATAGGAAACCGGCGTTCGCGTATCATGTGCTCCTGGAAACAAATTTTAAGCCTACCAATTTCTTTTCTATTTTTTTTTTATATCATTTCTCTCTATTGCGTTTGGTTAAAATTTTGTTACAAAAATTGTCACTGTCCAATTGAGTGCAACCAATTAGGTCAATATACCCCTAACCAATTAAACCACACAAGATACATCTCTTTCGACACTTATTCAGCAAGGATCTCCACTCCCAATTTTGCCCACTGAGCAAAGAGGAGAGCTGGAAAAAGAAACTCATCCGTAGGACATCGTTAATATATCTTTCATCGTTACCAAATGTCTGGGATATATTGGATGTTGCTATGTAATTAAACATGAATAAATGGTCAGGGACATATACGTACGAAAACGGTAAAATATGTGGATTGTTCGTAAATAGACATAAAAAGACTTTAACTTCTAACAAAATTCCGATTGGTTTTGAGAAACTGTATGACACATACACATATATATGTATATGTATATATCGGTACTGAGAAGGAAATTAATTGAGTTACGAACAATGAACAAGCCACATAGAGGTATAACGATGCTCGTTCGAAATGTTTCTTCTTTTTCTTGGCATCATGGATTCAAATTAAAAAAACTTATAACTTGTGAAAGAAGCTGTCGTAGACAATAACAATTAACGGATCATATTTTTCTTTTTCTCTCGTAAATTTAATCTACACTTTATCGCTAAAATGTTAATTCATATTTCTGCATCATTAGATATAACTTTCTTTTCCAGACGCTAAACGACTCAAAGAACTCTAGGAACCAAACATTTCGAAGGAGTCTACTTTGGTAGCAATAACAATTTTGTAACATTTCTAATAATTTTGTAAACAATAAATAAATAAAAGTATCCAATCGATCCATTGCGGCAGGGTGTTGACTATGGGGTGGCAAAAGATGAGTATATTACACGTTACGATTAGTCTTATGTAATAAGTACGTTATAAGGAGAGAAAGCAAACGTACCTCTCTGACTGCAAGTTGTGCTGCTTCCCTATCAGTGAAAGTGATAAAAGCATATCCTCTGTTGGTACCCGTCATTGGGTCCATCATCAGCCTCAAATCCCAAATTTTTCCACACCTTTCAAATAACGGAATTAACTCATCTTCGTACATATCTTTTGGGATTTTTCCACAAAACACCTAAGAGTTTGTAAGAAATCTCACGTTAAAATCCTATCGTAATGTTTACTCAAAGAATGTATACATATACGGAAATAATAACCCTTGCAGTCGACGGCATAATGTACACATACCTCACATCCAGTTCCTGGATTAGGACCTTCCCAATTTGGAGGAGGTCCTCCATATTTTCTTTGTCCTGTCGTTACATCTAAAGTATAACCAGTCCTTTCGAGTATCATCTGAAAGGAAATGATTTTTACGTCGTGTAACTTCCTTTACCCTTCCTTTTACGTGAAGTCCTTATACACATATATATAACTTGCTCCGCAATTCACAAGTTAAAAAAGTACTCGACATGTAAAATTCAACCAGTAAATACAAATATAGAATACCGTAACTACAAACGAAAGGAAAGAGATCAAAAGTCCGTTAATAAGATCGTTACCTTGATTTTATCTTCGTCGGGTGCTTTAGGTGTCGTGCTAGCACTGGTGGTACCTTGTCCAGCACGGCTCTTTTGCCTATACGTCTTCATGACACCACAAAGATACGCAGATTTATTAGATACGTGCTCCAGATTGGACTCCAGAAATTGCGTGAGCACGATCAATGCACCATCGGCTGGAAACTCCTTCAAGGCGTCGAGCGCTCTCTCGTCCAAATCGGCATGAGCAAGCTTTCCCGTCTTATATATCTCGTCGAGTTTAGTTGCAACTTTTTCGTCGAGTCCATACTCTATAAGTTTTGCAAAGTCCTCCGTCCTCTCCGAATATTCCATCTCCTCCTTCTGCTGCTTCTCTTCCATTTTTATTTCCCCATTCCCCTCCGCCATTGCTAAAACAAAACGTAACCCCTTAGCTATTAACCGCAATTACGGAGCAAAACCCGCGACACAATTGGAGGCCGTCTAACAGATCTAAATCTACCGCCTAGTTAACCTACAAAAGCCTAACCACTTTTCACTTCCGCCACGACCGACTCCCCTGTTATTTCTCCCAATTTCGCGGTAAATTCCAACCTCCCGTCGAACGAGCCAAATATCGTTAATGGAAACCGCAGCTTAAATCGAGATTTAAGGCGAAGCACTAATCCGGCAGAGAAGTGCAGCGGCCTCCGACCTCCCTAGCCCGAAGTGAATAAAGTTCGTTCGAGGGCAGACAAGTGCATATAAAGTGGCGGCGGGGGGTTTGGCCGTCAACATTTTTCCCGCGCCCGCGGTCGCCCGGGACACGCGTCCCCAACGACGAGACTCGCCCGTAATTCGGGCCGAAATATCGATAAAAGGGAGAGATCTCGATAAATCACCGACGCGGAGGTAGTCGTCCGTAGTGACACGAAGTCCACGCCGGGAGGAGAGGTACGGAAGATGCCGGTCCCGAGATCGGCGAGTCGCGATTCGGCCCGAATCGGGTGTCACTTGGCACGGCTCAACGACCAGGAACTTTCAAAAGGGGGTCCGATCGCGAGATCCCAGGGAAATTCGGCCACCGGCCGGCTCGTCTGGCGAAACGTCCGCGAAATGTCCGCGATGCACTTCCCTGCACTCGGCACTCGGCACGCGCACACGCGACGCGGGGCTGGCCGCCGGTCGGAAATTCCAGGGCGCGGGGGCGGCCGTCTCGCAGGGCCGCGTCGGTCCACTAATCCCGGCCGAGACTCGGCCAAGGGCCGCGTATTACCTCCGAGAGAACGAGAGAAGCGGAACCCTCCGTCGCGAGGAAATGGCGACAGACGTCAACGTGATCTCGCGGACCCTACGGGGTTCACAAAATGACGCGCAAAGATACGCTCGAACCCAGGCGGCGCGCGGCCGCCATCTTGGACCCCCGACCCCACCGCGCGCGCTGATTGGTCGAGGCCGAGCGAAAAAGACCGCGGGGAGCGCCGTCGCGCCGCCCCGCGGCTACTCGGCGAACCTCCGCCCGAGCGCGCCAACGTGAGCCAACCGTTTTCGCGAATTATTTCGCCAACTACGATGACAGAGATAAAAATCGGCGCACGGCCGTTCCCCGTAACCGGGAGATCTCGAATTCAACGTTTTCTCGCCCTTTCGATGCCAAATCCCGAACTCGCCGCGCCGATCTCCCGCGAAACGGCGGCGCGTCGCCGGGGCGGCGGGTCGGTGCATCGGACGCGTCTCTGGCGGGCGCCATTTTCCCGCGGTGCATCGAGCTTGCATCGCGCAACGGTCGACGCCACGCGACCTAACCTCGCGAATACGCACCCGGTTAGAGACGAAATGCTAATCGGCCCACCGAAGATAATCTCTCTCCGCCACTGGGTCGGGATCTCCGCGAAACACTATCCGGGCCCCACTTTCATGCCGCTGCACCGCGCGTGCACCTCTCGTGCATGCCCGCCATTTTGCCTAATGCATTTCGCTAAGTAATCGAATCATCCGGCGTCCACCACACCCAGAACCGTTTTATTTATATTCATACATCCTGTGGTCGTGTTCCGAACGAAGCTGGCGCGTCTTTTCTCGATTATATCGAAACGCCTCCTAGAAGGGGAGATAACCCGCGGGTGAGATTTATAAAAACCGAATCGGCGAAAACAATTCCCCAATGTTAAGAGGGGTTCCGGTTTCGGCCGCTGAATTCCTGCAGGCCAGTACCTGCTGGCCGGCGGGTTTCGCAATGTTGCACCCGGCGGGGCATCGGCCATTTGCCGCCATGGCTGCACCGACCTTGCATCCCGCGATAGGACGTTGCACGCGGCCTCGCCTTTCTCGAGCGTCGAACTAACCTCGAGGCGGCGAGTCGTTCGCGGGAAATAAATTGACCCTCGCGCCAAACTATCCGAGCGCTCGCTTCGGATATTTCAAGGACAACTTTGAGGTTAAAGTCCCACCAAACGGGGGTACAAATCAGTGCCACTCGAAAGCATCAATTTCAAATCTAACGAAACCGATATTTAACCGTTAAGCATATAATCTCAATATAATTTATAAATAATATTTCCACCACTGATATCGTTGCAACCCACAGCGGCAATTATTAGATAGATAATTCCAATAATAAATCCAGGTTAAATGCAGATTTGACGAGTCGCGGTTAATCCTAACCTTAATTTCAAGCTTATTGGTAAAGAGGTGTGTAAAAGTGAAATATTTATCCCTTGGAGGATTGAAATCGGGGGGGAAATAGAAAAACTCGCTTCCCGCGGATTTCGCCTCTCCTTCGGCAAGGCTTGTCGACGTGGTTTCGCTTTCGCGCGCCAAATTCCCCTAGACCCCCACCCCCGCGGCATTTCCCGCCCAATTGGACAATGAAGGTATGTACATAAGCATAGGTGCATCGCACTCGTTTCGCGGCCAATTGCTGCGCGACTTCACCGACCTTGCGACTCCCGATACACCGCGCTTTGTCGTCTGCCTTGGCTGCCGGACGGCCCAACCTAACCTGACTATCCGCGAGCCTTGTGCAGCGCCACCGACCAATCGCGACGATAGACTGACGCACTCCCCGCGGGATTTCGAACTCGTCCGGAAATTGAAATCGGAGAATTGAAACGCGCGTATAGGGTTGAGTAAGTATAATACGTCAAGTGATATACGTGCTTTTCTACACGTATATTACAACGTATAATACGTCCCTAGTTTTCTACGCAGGCACAAAGTATATTACCCCAAACTAAATGTGCAAAGCGCATGCGCAATATCGTCAATAGCCAATGAGAGTCCACCTATTTACCTCTAAGAGAGATTCCCAATGGCTATTAAGGGGATTGCTCTTTACGCATACACAAATCCGCGCAGATTCGAAATCACCCTTGGAAATTTCAAATGTATGCATATATGTGCATTTGACGTTTCTTTATAACGGCTGGTAACGGGTATTTCAAGTCGTAAGATTCGTAACCAATATTTGTATAAACATGTATAAAGGTGAGAGACCAAAAAGTAAATTATGGGGTGAAAGAAATGGACAAGATGGATGTTTATAACCTAGCGGATACCGCATGCCCTACGTCTGTCTTGCCCGCCATATTTGATACGTTTTCTACGGTAAAGTACTTGATTTACGTAATATACGTGAAAAACCTCGAAAATCGTGAAATTACCCAACCCTACCCACGTACACCAAGGTGTATGGACGCATAAGACGCGCATACGTGATCGCAAAGGCAGTAGATGCGAGGGAATGGAAACAAAGGGGTTGTTTCCTTGTTCTTTTCCCTAGAACACAGGCTAAGAGAGAGAGACAACTTCTCCTTTTCGAAATCTTCCTAATATCTGGGGAATTTATGTTTACCCTGGTATATGTGTCCGAAAGATAGGGGGAAAAAAAAGATGAATGGAATTGCATTAAACGGGTCCTCGAGTTTATCTCCGAGCGAGGTACGCTCGGCGTGGCCGCAGCGAACGGGCTGCTTTCACTTTTCGCCAAATTCCCGGCAATGGCCCGGTTGGAGGCCACTGCGCTCTGCGCCGCGGCGCGGCCGAAAATGCGGCCGAGAGCGCGACTCGGGAGCCCTCAACGGGACTAAATATACGTAACTCGGGTATATCTGCTCACGATCAATGTCCTCGCTCGGTCTCTGTCTATCCCAGCCTCGCGCCGTTCCTCCGTCTCTCTCGCTCGAGTCCGCAAAAAAAGCACCGCGAAACGGCGATCGTAAATAGAAGTACGCTCGCCAAGGAGGAATAAATTCACTCGCTGATCTAAGTGGGACTAAGATCTGGACTTTTCAACGGTAATACTTGGTTTCTTTTTTTTTATAGTCTGTAAACGACCGAAATGCACATTTTAATACTAAAGGCTGGGTACAAGTACGAGTCTTGGATTTCACGCCATGTGGCGGCTTCGACCGTTTTGAGGTTAACCGCGACTTCGGGATCGGGGGCGGATTTCCTAAATTTCTTTTTTCGAGGACGGTTAAACGTAAGTGAGAAAATTCAGCGGGATGAAAATCGTCGCAGGATGAGGTCCAGGAACTACCGTGGAAATAGCTTGGCTATTTCCGAGCGGAATTCCCTCCTGAGGGAAAAAGAGACGCCGTAAAAGGAGCACGGCGTGGGCCGGTCGGCGGGAATGCACCGAGAATGCCAAAGTCCGTCCTCGCCGAGACGTCTGGAGGAGTAAATAAAATCGGGGAATAAAGTACGAGAAATAAAACCCGGCCCGGAGACCGATCCATGCCGGCAAACCAGAAAGTACCACAAGAACCGGGAGTGCACTCCGGGGTCGAAAATACAGCCCACGGGAAAGAAAGAAAAGGAAAAAACGCGGGAAAGCGCCGCTCCAAGCGGACACAGCGAACCCTGCGAATACATCTGCCTGATAACGAGTGATAAGAGGGAGACGGAAATGCAGGAGGATGCCCCGGAGTCGCAAGACCCCTCGAAAACCCCATCCACGAATCTTTAAATCGCACATTTAAAAGAATAAAACCTATTCCGCGAGTTGACGGGAATCTCCTACCCTTAATTCCCTAGCCCGGGAATTTTGCAAAAATGAAAAGGGACCTATTTCCCGCGCTGTCCGGGAATAAGCGGAAAAATCCGGGATTTCTTCCGAGACGATTTTCCCAAGATCTCAACCTCTGGCGTTGAAATTCACGAATCTGAAGATTTCCGGGAGAAGAAGGAAATAGATCCTCTGGTGCTAACCTTTCCCTCTCTGATCTGCAGCCCGACTCTCCCCCAGAAACGCAACCTCCAAGTTCCTCCACCCCGGATCCAAGAAATCCTAATATACCCAAGTTTCCGCGTCCCGGCATCTCTAGCACCATATTCCCGCGGCGGAGAGGAAGAAACGCGTCCTCCACCGGTATACCGGGCCGTCCTAACCTCTCCGCGCACCCTCGCGTCTATCGGTCTAGGAGGTAAAGGTGAGATAGAGAGGTTACCGATCGATCGGCGTTCCGCACGTCCGTCAGCTCGGCGCACCGGGTCCCCAGGAGGAGCACTTATGGTCAGCGGTCACGAGTCCTCTCGGGACTGGCGTAGCATATTATCCCTCGGTGTCGGCGAGGTGTCGGCGAGGTGTCGAGGTGTCGTCGAGGTGTCGTCGAGGTGTCGAGGTGTCGGCGAGAAGAGAGACACAGCGGAGGTCCGGCCGCGAGCCGCGGTGGCTCTCCCGGCTCGACTGAGTGCCTCGTCGCGGTCCTACTCCCGGTGTCCGTTCCTCGGGTTCCTCCGGTTCCTCTGGTCCGTCCGATCCGGCCGTTCCGTGTCCGGCTGAGGCGGCGGCGGGGGCGGCGGTCGGTCGGCCGGGCACTCGAGTCTCGCGGTCCGATTCGGGCTGTGGGGCTCGGAGGAAGAGGTTTCCGGGCACGTAGTTGCGCGGTATCGTGTGGTGCCTACATAGCCGTGATGCATAAATTGGACTGGCTCCCCGAGCGCGCGGTGCACCGGTGCAAGCCCCGGCAAGCCAAACCAGTTTGCTCGCGGCCGCGAGTCGCGGCCCGATCTCCAATCCGATTCGGCCGCTCGCCTCTCTCGCCGACGAGCGGGAGCCCCGCCTCGTCCAGGAGCGGAGTCGCCGACCGACTCAGGGGCGCCCTGGCCCCCTCGGCCCCGCCCCGACCCCCCGCCCCGAGGAGAGAAACGGCCATTTTTCGACGCCGATCGCGGCCCCGAGGAGGGGTGCGCTTCCCTTCGGGAGGTCTCCTGTCGGGAACCGGGGAAGGGAACCGGGGAAGGGCACCGGGGAAGGGAACCGGCGAAGGGAACCAGGCAAGGGAACCGGGGAAGGGTCTTTCTCAGCACGGGAATCGTCGGAGGTGTCGATGGAAGGAAAACTCCTAT